CCTCTTGGGGTTACTAACAGGCCTATTTATAACCCCAGGAGTAAACCTAGGCACAATATGTAATTACAACATTACCCCTGTACCATACCGCGGGGCTTTGCCCCCGCACCCCAACCCACGTAACTTCCCAATTTGGACAGATTCTTCCGCTCCGCTCTGCTCCGCTTCGATCCAGCGTCTGTCCCGATATGGTATATGAGCCATACCATAACAGTCTTCTTTTTTAAAAAAAATTTTGATTGCATGTTACGGTCATGATTGGACACCAAATGTGCGGTATCCGTGTGCAATAATTTTTTAGAGCGGCGCAGCCCCTATTTTATTTTTTCGCTTTCGCTCAACGTTCGCTGCAGCTCGCCACTGAAGTAGGGCAGCGGGATCAACCCCGCGGCCCCGTGTTCGCGATTATTATTTCCGGCATTGCCCCGCTCGAAGCCGCAGCACCATTGTTCATGAAACCGCGCTGCTCCCGTGATCGTCGTGAAGCCTCTGCAGCTCCTCCCCCCGCTACGCCGCTACTCCTCTTCCACCGTCGCCAAATTGTCGACTTCTGATCGGTGCCAGTACTCTTGATCGGTATTTCTCCTCCAAATTTTTTCTTCATATTTTGCTGTTGTGCTTCTTCTTCTCGGTGGTTTTTGTATCCCTGACACTCCTTATTGTAGTTCTTTGAGAAATCATAGTACAAGGATTCAAGAGTCCTACAAAATAATGTCTTATCTTTTTTTAGTTTAATTTTCAAAATTATAAGAGTTCCTCTTTAGGTTATGTCTACCATTAGCCCCTGAAACATGGATTTAAAAATTCATCATAAGTTCTATCAAATAATGCTGGCGCAAGCTCTTGTAATACTATTTTTCATGTTAAATCTCTCGATCTTCCACAGAAAGACATCTTTTAATTTGTAAGTTATGGTTTGATTGTGATAAACAATCTAAGGAGCTACGTGATCAGATTGAACAAATTACTTAAGAGACTTCGATGCAAGCGGCAAGGAACCGTGAATAGATCAAGAATAGATCAATTGTTTATGAAACTTGGGTGTTTGTTAACTTACAATTGAAATTTTTAATTGGCAGTCTCGCTTTGTTGAGATCCTGATGTATTCTTTGGTTATCTTTTAATGCTTCGTCGCTGTCAATAAATTAATTGAGATCCATGTTACTTTGAATAC